TGGTTGGAGCACGCGGTGCCCATCGTCGAAATCGACGGGGGAACTGTCGTGTAGATAGCTATATCCATCTCCAGGCAGAGCAATTTGAGGTTCGAACGCGGGTTCTTTGTTCATGAAACATTATGTAGGGCAACGCTCTGCCATTAAGCCACGGACACTTCGTCCTGTCGGTTGTGATCATACATATTAACCTGTAGGAGAGAGACGTTCACCGGTCAAATTACGAGACCTGTTCGTCTCGTGTGCCCGAGTTCAATCTAGAGTTCTTACAGGTATTCTATTATCTGCCTACATGTTTTGCTAGTCGCTATGCGACTGCCTCCGAAGATTCTATGTTGAGCCACACGGCACAACGGGACGAGTTCGTTCGTAACGCGGTAGGTGAACGGCTGTCTACCATGATCTCAGTTATACTGTTTTTAACTTTCGAAACACGTATTTCTTGATTCTTGCAGTAGCCGGTTTGCATGTGACTGCGAGCGTGTTTTATCTCCGAATATCTCTATTCCATTCTTGTAATTCTCTTTATTACCCCTGGTTTTGATTTTAAGCCGTTTGGTGTTTAGAAGTGATTGTAATTTTACTTTCTGCCCACATCTTTTACAATAGGCTAACTCGGTGCTGTTTTCTTCCAGGTTGAATTGCCCCCCTCCTACTTCTCTTCCCACTTCTCATCAGTTCTCAAAATTGCAGTTTCAAGCGACGAACAGTCTGTGGCCCTCTTCTTAGACACTGACGTACTCTGGGTGGGAAGCCTCGACTTTTCTGAGGTTAAATTTGAGCTGCCGCTCAGGGGCCGCGTGTCGGCGGTGGGTAGCGAAGACAAAACTCCCGTCCCAGGCAGTCATCCTCTTGCTCTTAAGTGGCTGGATAATTCCACCGTCGCCGTCCAGTGGACCAACTTCATCGCCCTTGTCGACGTCGAAAAAAATGTCTATGAATTCTTCTACCCCACCTGCATCCACACAGAAGTCGAGGTTAGGCCCGCCCCCTTCCCGCCCCCGCTTTTAAAATCTCGTATATTCACCTAACACTGGTTTCACACCCGGAAACATCGGACCTAAAACCTACAAAAATTCTGTTATTCGACAAATGCCTCGATTTTTGGCTAGGGTCGTTTGAGTATCCAGCGCCTAGAACGCCGATAAATGCTTAGTCTGGTCCGCCCAGTCTCACCTCCGAAAAACGACGCAAGTGGAAGGGGTGAGAGTCAGGTGGACTCTGTTCCACACTTCTTCAGCAGGATATAGTTGATATGCATTGCAGCACTTAACCTTCAAATTCACCGCTTTGAGCATGCCAGCTGGCAGGGCGATTTCGCCCGTGAAGATAAACTCCAGCCTGCGGTGGCACCATAAGCCAATTTTGCGGATCCGCTGTCGAAGTGTGTGAGTGTCAAGAAGAGAAGACTGGATGCTGAAGGAGCACGTTAAGAATAGCAGTCGTCTCTTACCTGACCTCGAACTGCTAGAGTGTCGAGCCACCTAATTTTTAATGGTATCGCCATTCTCTTGCAGTGCTCT